CAACAGATGCATGCATGTCTGCCTAACCTGTAAACACAAATCTACTATATTAAAGAATCATATACCTAAATACTTGTTGTGATGTTGTTATTGTTACGATAACCAAGCATAGAAAAGTATTGAGTGTTTCCTCTATTTTTTTGCAGTTGTGGTTTGAGGTAATTTATTTTGGTTCTTTGCCCGTACCAGTTCTGGTTGCAGTGCTGGTTGAATCCCAGTTTTATTTTGTGTTTTAATTACAACATTAATATATGTAAACACTAGGGATGTTTATTGTGCTTCTGAGTGACACTGAACAAAAATAACAAAAATATTTGTTAGTTAATATATCTTCCTGAAGCCTTGGCACAGAATGTAGCAGCCAGAATAACATCTGTACATGTCACTAGTTTTTTCCTTATTGACCTGACATCTTTTCTCACTGCTGCATATTTATTCCGCTGGTTTATCCACCTGACTTGCACCAATGTACAGTGTATTATCACAGCATTTCTCAAATGGGTGTACGTGTACCCCTAGGGGTATTTTTTAATTACTACAGGGACTATGTAAGATTCAAAAAATGTTTATTTTAAAATTATGTTGTACATAATTCCTAAAATTATTTAACTATATATTAAAAATGTAAAAGGTCACTTTAATAAGCACATTTTATATTTTATGTTTTTCATGCAGTCATTAACTGCTGTAAATTTTGTACTGTATTATACTGTATATTTCGGCAAAAAGTTTATTATAGTGTTTCTATTTTTATGATGTGTCTGTGTATAAATATATATATATATATATATATACACAGACACATCTATCTATATATAAATTAGGGCTATGGGTAAACGATTATTTATTAACCGATTAATTGGGCGATTATTTTATCGATTAGTCGACTAATCTAACAACTAATTGGACGATTAATCTAACGATTATTTTTCTGTTGCTCGATTAATAAAAACCATAATGTATCTCAAATAAATACCAAAAACTTCTTAATAATATACTTCATTAAACAACAGTTTTGCACAGCAAAAAATCTTCTGCTTTACACAAAATAAAATAAATAAAATTATTTTACTGTTATACAAAATGAAAGGCCAGCCTATTTACTCTTTCACAGTACCAACATAAATCTCTTGTTCAAAAAATTCAAAAGTTGTAGTGCAAATAAAACACTGTGCAGTGTAGACATTCCTGAGTGTTTAACACAATATAACAGTCCCCACATAAAACCTGATGCACAATCAAACTGACTCTCTTAACTGCTATTCTGTAAGCTTACATGCTAATGAAGTGTGTGCAATATAGTACTGTCCACTTTCCTCCGCTTCTCTCCTCCCTCATCCATCACCACTCTTTACTCCTCTTCTACACTACCTACTCTGAATTACTGTGGAGGAATGTGAGCATGTCACGTGCTCTTTGGTGAGGCTTGCTCTTTTTTGCTCACGATGGTCCCTGCTGCTGAGAACAGACTTTCAGAAGGTGTGGATGTTGCAGGGGCAGCCACATAGGATTTTGCCACAACAGCCAGGGCGGGGAACTTCGTTTCATTTTCCTTCCACCATTGGAGTGGGTTTTTGTCCTTTGGAATGGGTTTCTCCCCAAAGTACACAAGCAGCTCATTCCTGACAGCATCTTCCCTCTGGTCTTGGCCTGGGTCTTCATCTTCCAGCTCCTCATCATCACCTGTGCCAAGCAACGTGTCCAGAAGAGACTTTGGCTTCTGTCTGGAGTGATCTGGCTGGCCACTGGGGTAGTCATCTTCTTCAGGCTCTTCCCTCACTTGCACTCATCTGGCTTCAAGTGCAAGGGTCTGAAGTTTGATTTTCACCTTCAGGATGTCGTCTGTGGACAGGAACTTGAGTTTTCGGAATCTCGGATCAAGGGCCGTGGTGAAGATGCACACATTGTTCCCATCTTTATCATATCTAGTCTCAATCTTCCATCTGAAAAATAATGGATTTGATTTGCACACTTAAGATCAAAGAAATTCAAGGTGCTTAGAGAGAAAGATAACAGTAGAATCAATAGCTCTACATGATAGAATGCCAATGGGAAAACATTGAAAGATGCAAACTGGGAAAGCTTAATTAAAATATTCAGTTAGTTCACTGTAAGAGATTTAAAGAGTTGAATAATTAAACTAACCTTGAAGCAATCTCTGCTGCGGCTGCTGTTTGGAAGGTGGCGATGGGAGCAGACTCAAAGGCTATCTGCGTGGACTTCTGTAGGCCTTTCACCAGCGGAGGCAGGACAGAGGCTGTGACGTATGCCTCTCAACTCAGGAAGACGGTGGCTTGCTCGAAGGGCTCAAGTGCTTGCTGTAGCTCCTCCAGGAGGCTCCACTGGTCAGCTTTCATATCCAGGTAGTGCTTTGCTGCCTTGGTGACCTCTGGGTCTGAGAGGGTTGTGGTTACAGGCCACCGCTGCTCAAGGAGGCGTGTGACCATATAGTAAGAACTATTCCATCTAACAGCTACATCCTGGGTCAACTTGTGTTGAGCTGTGCCCATTTGCTCGTTTGAGTTTCAACTTCAGGGTGGCGACATCGCTGCTATGGAAGTACCCGACGAGGCTCCTTGCTGCCGGCAGTTGTTGATCCGGGGATCTTTCAGAGCATGGTTGACCATCAGCTGGGTGGTATGGCCAGCACATCGAAGTGAGGCAACGCCATGCCTCTCCTCAAGGATTCTAAGGGCTTTCACCACATTAGCTGCATTATCGTTGACAATCGCCTGGATATCATCACGGAGAAGTCAAACTTCTCGGCAACCTCTTCAATCCAGCGAGCGATGTTTTCTGCAGTGTGTCGGTCCTCAAGGGGCTTTGTGCACAAAACAAATGAGACCATCTCCCAGTTGTCGTTGATGTAGTGGCAGGTCACTCCGAGGTATGCCTCTGTGGCAATACTTGTCCAGGCATCGGCTCTTCAGACTCCATCTTTAAGTGTCTCTGTCTTTCCGTGTCTGTCTTTCTGTCTCTGTCTTTCACTCTCTCAGTTGGGTCCGTGGAACGCTGTCAATACAACCAACCCTCTGACGTCATAGGTCAGATTGCTACAAGATGGCAGCGCCCTTGCCTCAACAAACAAAACAGGACTTCTTTTTTCTCTAATATGCTTACATTTGTCACTTTTGTTTTACAATTATTGTTGACCGATACCAGCGTAATTCATGTATCTGAATTTCCCGATCCAACCTGCGCAGATTTCTGATATCCATGAGCCATGAGCTTTAACGTTGTCTGCTGACTGACTCCCCAGGTGATTCCTGCCGGCCAGTCTGCTGGCTGCAAACTGTGGAATGGATTTCCTGAACGGAGGCGCGGCTCAATGACACACAGAGTTATGAGACACGCCTCCGCTCAGGAAATCCATTCCCCAGTTTGCAGCCAGCTAGCAGGATAGCATTGAGCAGCATTGTGGCTAGCCAACATGTCCGCTGTGTGGAAATACTTTACACTGGAAACACCGCAGAGCAAGACAGCAAAATGCAATGTTTGCAAAGCCGTAATTCAGAGACGTGGAAGCTCCCTCGCGTCGTACAACACTACGAACGCAATCAAACATTTAAAACAGCACCACACGAAACAGCACGAGGATTTTTTAGGCGAGCTGTCAGGAATCACTTCTGGAGTCATTCCAGAAACAAGGTAAACTCCAGGCAGACAACGTGTGTGTGTGTGTGTGTGTGTGTGTGTGTGTGTGTGTGTGTGTGTAAGATGTTTACAGTTATTGCACTTTTCTTATATTTCAGATAATTTACATTTTAAAACCTTGATTTGTTGATGCTACAAGAGTCAGTGTACTTGATTTGTGCTGTTCAGATGCACACTGTTTTATTGATAGTGTGTGTGTGTGTGTGTGTGTGTGTGTGTGTGTGTGTGTGTGTAAGATGTTTACACTTATTGCACTTATCTTATATTTCAAGACCCAAATATTTGACATTTTGGGAATTTAATAAATATTGACATGACAATCAGTTTGAAACCCTTACAGTTGCATATTTGTTTTCAGGATGGGATTTTTCCTGTTAAAAGGATTTCCTGTTTTTCTGACTTCCTTTTTCTGACCTTATACTTACCACAAGTTGCCTTTTGGGACATACATACATGTCATACTTGCCTGTTGAGAGGAAACACAGCTCTGGTACCTGAATAGTATCGGTATCGGCCGATATCCAAATTCAGGTATCGGGATCGGATGGGAGGTGAAAAAATGTGGATCGGTGCATCCCTAAATTATTGAGAAGAGGTTAAATCCATTTAGTAAATCAGCTTAACTTGGTTGACTGCTTCATATCCACTTTAAAACTGTAACCTGAAATCAAACTGTCAAATATAATCTGAACTGTAATTAACCTTTATAATGATGGATATACTTTGCATAGATTGACCAACAATACTGAAAGCAATTCACAATATCGTGATGCTAAATTTAGGAGGCTGAGTAAAGTTGTAAAAGGTCGGCTGAGGCGGCAGTTGGGTTGTACTGTGAGGGCTGGACTGGTGCCTGGTAGAAAGGTGGACATGGGGAATTTGACCTTGCAAGAAACTGTGTGAACACTGAGAGCATTTTGAGCTCATGTTCATGCTGTGCTGCTTGCATTTTCAATTGAAGCTCAGTGTCGTCTGTGTTGTTGAGGGCACTGCTGATCTTTTCAGTGAAGATTTCCAGTGTTGCTTCCATCTTGGTCTTCCTTTTCCTGCTCTTGGCAGATGTAGCTGTAAGAAAGAGGAGGAAGTGTTTGGCCACTGTATCACAATTACAAAAATAAACAGGCTTGGAGGGTAGACATGAGTATAAGGAAAGACTTAGCATTAATACAGTACAGTAACAACAGAATACAAAATAGGAATGGATGGGTTAGCTAAGCGAATACTTTACTAGTGATTTAGCAACAGCCTGATAAAAACATGATGATTCTTACTTCCAGAGGACTTGGTGGCTGTTGTGCTTCTTCCAGTGGTCTCTGTAAGGCCTGCAGCTGATGAGCTTTCTCCACATGTAGATGGTGCAGAAGACACAGAAGGGAGTGACTCGGTGCTTGTATCATCTGGTGCAAGCAAACATATCATGTAATGCTATAATGTGATGTATTTGATGTATTCAATGCAAATATTATGAACTGGTTCACGTTACCACTTTACATAACACCCTCAACACACACACGTTACCCTGAGAAGATGAGGGTCACCTGGTAGCCCCCCTCTTAACTTATATGTTAGGTTATAATATGGGATTTGGTTCTTCAGATCCAGGTCACCAGTGGACTGGATCAGATCATAGATAGACTGTACATTTGTGAATGACAGACACGTACAGGGTAGTCTCTGCTTCTCTGATGGGTTTCTGAGTTGTGCAAAGAAAACTGGGAGCAGCTGACTGGCTCGTTTATTCTGTTAACATAATTTTCTTCTAATAACTTTCTGCCAACTTTCTAGTCTCCAAATGTAAAACTTCTTTACAATATTTCTAACTTTTATTTTATATTAAAGTGCGTTTCCACTCCAGATTTTCTATATGCGTAGGCTGTGAATGTCAAGACTGAAAACTTACCTGTCTCGCCATCAATATCCAGGCTGTCCGCCGACCTCCTCGGAGTTTCAGGCTCCGTAGCTATCCAGCAGCTCCAACGGCTGACAGCTGGGTTTATCGCCAATAACACGGCTAAGCTCGTTATAAAATGGGCAGGTGATGCGACCGCGACCGCTTCGGTTATTGGAATCATTCGTTTCTTTAAATTTAGCTTTAAGGCTCTTCGCCTTCCTTAGGCACTGCAGCCACGTTACGGAGCGGTTACGGTACGATCCTTCTAGTTTTGCTTGAATTGAAGTATCTCCCCAAATACTAATTAGGTCTAACACCTCACTCTCCCTCCATTGACTTGCTCCATCACTGTTCTCCATTTTGTAGGCCTAGTCCAGTTTTTAATTTTACCGTCTGTGTCGAGGGCGAACTCGCCGGCGCATCACTGTGACAAATGTCGATGTAGATTGACGTAAAAGTCGCATCAAATCCAGTTTGGTTGTTCACACTGCGGCCGCATTGAAAACAATCAGACCTGGATCAGATTCAGGACCACATATGGAAGAGGTCTGAACGTGGTCCTAGATACCAGTAAGCAGACACATGTTGGACCCTCGGTCATGTGACGGGACGTTTACATCTCAAATAAATTATAACATCCAAAGATAATTAAAATATGGCTTAAAGTGCTTAAAGTGCAGATAAAAGTGCTAAATCAACACATTACACAGTTCAGTGGGTAACAATTATACAAACCAACATATTACACAGCACTGGATTCAGTTTAAAGCTTTAAAATATCAAGCTAATGGTTTTAGCATTAGTGAATGGCGTCTGCCATTGTGCTAGTTAGCATCTTCAGCTAGCGTTAGCGGCTAGCGCTTAGCATGGTAACAACGATCGCTCACCGATGCGTTTCCTTCGTGAGGGAGACGTCAGGTCTCTCCGACTGCACTCTCACAGGTCAGGGCTCCACACTGGATCAATACAATCAGTTTTCAATCAGTTTTTAATCAGTTTTTAATCAGTTTTCAATCAGTTTTCAATCAGTTTTCAATCAGTTTTTAATCCGTTTTTAATCAGTTTTTAATCAGTTTTCAATCAGTTTTTAATCAGTTTTTAATCAGTTTTCAACAACTTTTATCGCTTTATCTCCACGAGGTAGGAACCGTTGTCAGCGCGGGGTTTCCTCTCTGTTCTTCCAGGAGCTCGAGGTGAAGTGAACTCGGCTCCTGATTGGCTGACAGCGCGTCTCCTTCAAAATAAAGTTCCTATTTATTTTCTCTTTATCTCAGTTGAATTGCTTTTTAGACAAATATCAGTTTTTAATCGTTAACATTAATAACATACTTCACGAATTGACTTTTTAATATAGATTTTTAACCTTGGTTACACTTACTTTTAATATGTGTTTGTGAATTTTATTCATTTTCATTGAGTCTGAATTTTATCTCATTGAGTTATTTTTCATTTTCTGTTATTTTGGTTTATTTCCAGTGGAAATTGAGTTTTCTGAACTTTGTCCTTCCGTAGCTCCTTCGTTTGTGTTGTTTGTGTTTAGTCACCCACCCCACACACACTTTTTACTCTGTTTAACCTATTCTATATAGTTTATATTGTTATTGAAATTAAATGTTTTCTGGTAAACTGTAACAGCTCTTTTTGTAATTGTTTTGTTTTTGTAATATGCACATTGAGTTACATATACTCTGTAATGTTTAAATGAATTTATCTATATGTATTTTCAGAAAGATAATGAAATCACACAGTGTTGTTTTGCATTGCTGAGGAAGAAGAGGTGCAGGAAAAAAAGAGCAGAAGGAAATGAATGTGCTATATTGTCTTCTGCAGGAGCAAATAAATGCTGGTTAACAGTTCTGTGAGTCGTCCTCTGTTTATGCCCAATCCACACACCTGTTACACATATAAAATAAAAAGTTTCTGAATGACAATCACATTGTAGGAGTGAATTATAAACTCACATATACAGAATGTATGTATAGAAGTTATTGTTTACTTTTACATAGTAATCATCCAAATATTTGAGAGGTTTTATGGTTTTCTTGTTTGTTAATCAAAGTCAAAGAGAAATTATAATTCAACAAAATACAGATGAACATTAGTGTTGCGGAGGCTCAAAGAAAGTAGACTGGCTTCTCTGATTTGTAATCGCGAAGTGTGCGTCTGTTAGAACGCACCTAAAGTTCCCCCAAGACTTGGATACAAATTAGGAAGGAGGCAGTCAATCCAGTTATGGCGCTTTAATCCAGTGTGGTTCTGGAATAACCCAAAACAGTAACAGCCATCAATAACAGGTCACAATATGCTTAACTATAGCACACAAATTAAATAATAATATAATCATCCTTAGCATGAAATTGTATGAACATCATATAAAGAAGGAATATACATTATATGATATATCCCATATTAACTGACAACAAAGGAAATGGTCAGTGGAATAAATATAACATAAATGACCATCAGAGGTAATTGTTAACACTAGTAGAAATATGCATTGTAGCACCAGATATAATCTCAACCAGCAGACATATAAACAGATAAAATATACAACAATGACATTACATCCAGCAAATAAACAACATAACTTACGTTTCTCTGGACGCACACTGAACCACAAACGGCAGATCAACGGATACAAAGTAGCAAACACAACTTCTACTGCCTGCCATACACACGTCTCACCGTCGTCAGTCTCTACTTCTCTCCCTCACAAGCAGCAGCACTCGGCCCGATTGAGCGCAATAGCGCCCCTAGTGGCTGGATCTGGCCAAGTCACCTGCTCTGTCGTGCAGCCTTCAGAACAGCCGCCCCCAAATTTGCTCCTGCAAATTTGCAGTACTCAGTCTATCACTGTTCATTCTTTTCTGGTACAGCAGGGAGTCTGATAAGACGGCTCACAGGTCGGACATAGGTGCGGTCCCGGACTTCGACCTCCGCAGTGCGAATCAGACCATCGTCCCCAGGGAACACCTGCTTGATTTTCCCAACAGGCCATGATGCTCTGGGCAGTTGAGGATCGACGATCATCACAATCGTATCCAGTTGAAGAGGGGATGTGTCCGACTGCCACTTGGACCGGGTTTGCAATGTGGGCAGGTAGTGGCGCAGGAACCGCACCCAGAAGCGATCCGAAAGCACTTGACAGGCCCTCCATTGACGCCGGCTGAGCAGCTCCGAGTCGTGATATACTGCCTGAGGTAGGGAGGGGTCTGGCCGCCCCATCAGTAACAGATTGGGGGTGACCGGGTCCAAGTCTGCTACATCGGATGACACGTAGCCAAGGGGCTTGGAATTAAGGATACCCTCAATCTCGATCAGGACGGTGGTCAGCACTTCTCCACTGACAACTTGTGAGCCCAGGGTAGCAGTCAGAGCAGCCTTGATAGACCTGATTTCCCGCTCCCAGGAGCCACCGAAGTGGGGGGCGCTAGGGGGGTTGAAGCAAAACTTGATCTGGTACTCTGCCAACTGGGCTTGGAGAGAAGGATGGAGGGTTTGGAAAGCTTCTTGCAATTCCCTATCTCCACCTCTGAAATTGGTCCCCTGGTCCGAAAGCAGCTCTGCTGGTTTCCCCCGACGGGATATGAACCTCCTCAAGGCCATCAGGAAGGAGTCTGTGTTGATGGTGGACAGCACCTCAATATGGACTGCTCTCGTCGTAAGGCATTTAAAGAGCAAGCCCCAGCGTTTCTCATTCCGTCGGCCGACTTTAACCTGCATCGGGCCGAAACAATCAATTCCTGTAGAGTAGAAGGCTGGTTGATGTAGCCTGAGCCGTGCAGGGGGCAAGTCTGCCATCTAGGGGTTGACAGGTTGGGCTCTCCATCTCTGACACTCGGGGCATGAGCGCTGCTCCCTTCTTATGGCCTCACGGCCACGAAGGATCCAGAACTTCCTCCTCAGCTCCGCAAAGAGTCGCTCTGCCCCAGGGTGTTTCAGATCATGGTCGACCTGTCGGATGAGCAGCTTAGTCACAGCATGTCTCGGGTCAAGGACTACAGGGTGGATCACGTCGTCCTCCAGGTCCTGACAACGCCGCAGTCGACCTCCTACCCGTATCAGCTGGACTGATGCATCATATTCTGGAGCCAGTGTGACTAAGCAGCTGGAGGAAGGGACTTGTTTCCCAGCTGCCAGGCACTGGGCTTCTTCAGGGAAGCTGTCTCTTTGAGCGGACCGCAGGATGCTGAGTTCCGCTTCCTTGAACTCCTCTGCTGTGGGAGTCCCGTTAGCATCGGCAGCCGCCCCGTGAAGGTATCCCGCGGTGGCTTTCACCAGTTCACCGAAGGTGCTAAACAGCTGAGCATCAGGAATGGAATGGTGTGTGCTGGTTACCGTGCTAACCAGGCAGGTTGTGGGCCTTCGCAGCTCTTCAGCGATGTCTTCACTCATTGTGACTGGGTGCACTGGCCACTGGTCAGGTGGCCGTTGCAGGAATGGGGGTCCATGGGTCCAACGATTCTCACCTGAGAGATCCTGCAGTGACTTTCCCCGGGTGAGGTCATCTGCTGGGTTCTCTGTCGTCTCCACGTAGCGCCAGGCATGGCTATCAGTCAGCTCTTGAATTTCTGCAATACGGGTTCCTGCAAACACCTTAAACACCTTAAAGCGGCAAGCAAGAACAGTTGTGGAGTCCGTCCACATCACCACTCTTGATATCTCCAAGGTGAGCTCTTGGGTTAGCACGTTTGCAAGTTGTGCACCCGTAAGCGCAGCGCACAGCTCCAACCGTGGCATGGAGAGCTGGCGCTTGGGGGCCACTCGAGACCGAGCTGTCAGGAAAGCCACCTCCACATGCTCCTCTGCGTCTTCTGTGCGTAGATATCCCACACTGCCATACGCACGTTGAGATGCATCACAGAAGATGTGGACCTCCCGCTTATTGGCTGAATGGTCCATGGCTGGACTAACATAGCAGCGAGGCAGTCTAATGTGGTCCAAGTACTGTAACTCATTCTCCCAGTCTTGCCACGCCGTGAGCCACTCGCCAGGCATCAGAGGATCGTCCCACTCCCGCTTTTTCTCCCACAACTGTTGAACAAGCACCTTAGCCCTCGTAGTATAGGGCGTGAGGAACCCTATGGGGTCGTATTGGCTGGCCAATACTTTGTAGATGTTCCTCATGGTGACAGGGGAGCACTCCAGCAGCCGTGACTTATACCGCAGCGTATCTGAGTGGCATAACCAACGCAGCCCCAGGGCAGGTTCTTGCGGATCCGTGTCGGTGTGATTAAGCAACTGTTCACTACTCTCCGACCTGATCTCCTTAGGGAGGTGGCTGATGACATCTGGCATACTGCTGGCCCACTGTCGCAGCTCGAAGCCTCCCTCCAGTAACAGCCCTCTCAGCTGGTCTGCGACATCTCTGGCCATATCTGGAGTAGGGAAGCTCTGTAGCCAGTTGTCCACATAGAAGTGGTTCTCGATAGACTCACGCACTGCATCCCCTGGGTGGGTGTGATCATGTACATGCCTCTGTAGTGCGTATATGGCGCAGCATGGGGAACAGGTAGTCCCGAAGGGGAAGGACCTGCCACTCGTACACTCTAGGTTGAGAGTCTCTCTGTAGATCACGCCAGAGGAAGCGCAGCAGAGGGCGGTCTTCAGGCAGCAACCTCACCTGGTGGAACATTCCCTTTATGTCACTACTGACCGCAATGGAATGTTCCCTGAACCGCAGCAGGACACCCAGGAGGGATGCACCCAGATTTGGGCCAGACAGCAGTAGCTCGTTGAGGTTCTTATCCCTATAAGTATAGGAACAGTTGAACACGATCCGATTTTTCCCGTTGTGGGTCACCAGGTGATGGGGAATAAACCACGACTCCTCAGAAGTCTTCACCAGCTCCGGGCTAACTTCGGAGGCGTAGCCTGCTTCTTTCAGCTTCATGATCTCTGCCTGATATGCCTCTGCCTTCACCGGGTCTCTGCCAAGACGCTTCTCTGTGCTACGTAAGCTGGAGAGTACCGCTTCAGGCTGTGCCGTGAGTATAGGCATGTTACTCACCCGCAATAGTGGGGTGGCATATCTGAGGACTCCCTCCACCTCCACTCTTCTAGTCTTTGCCTCTAGAAGATTCATGGCCTCTTGGTCTCTTCGTGACCTAGTCACCAGCTTCTCATTTCTGTATGGCAGGGTGTCCAGTTGCCAGAGCTTCTCTACTTGATTAAAGAGTTCAGCCGCAGGGGAGGTGGTGGACACGAACAGACACTGTGGTGGGCGGTGGCACTGTTGCAGGGATTTGACTGGCCCTTGCAGTGACCAACCAAGCCTGGTCTTCACCGCGGCTGGGCCCCCGGCGGGCCAAGTCGGACAGGTTCGACAGGGGGTCACCAAGTGCGGACAGTCAGATCCTATCAAGAGGAGTGGATGAACCGCTGTGAACGGCTGCAGGGGGAGCGTCTTGAGGTGCTTATATCTGCCCTGAAGTCCCTTCACTGGGTAAGAGTGTTCAGCAAGGCCTAGTCCGCCTGCAGTGAAGGCACTCTCAATCGTAAATGTCTTTGTTGGTTGACCAATTGGGGAGATTTTGAACGTCACTGAAGAGCCATGTAGTGTTTTCATATCCTGCCGAACTGTTCTCAGGGTGAGGCTCTCTGGAGTACCCTGAAGCTGCAACCTCTGAACGGCCTCCTGGAGGAGGATCGTCCTCTCAGAGCCATCATCTAATATGGCGTATGTCTCCAAAGTGTGGTCGCCATTGCGCAGTAGCACCTTACTGACCTTTAAAAGGACCTGATTGCAGCCGGCACGACGATCCAGGTACAAAATATCTGTGGTTGACTTCAACTCTGCACCAGTGCCGTTCCCTGTAGTGAGCTCGTTCCTGCCAGGCCGGAGATTGACCTCATG